TTATCGAAGGAAATAATTCTGAAAAGTGTGGGCTTAAATGTAAAGGGAAAGAAATAACCATGTACATTATTTTGAATAGCATACAAAACCTAACTAATTTGGAAATAGTCTGTCCTTGGTAGCTAGGAATCATGTTCTGCAGTGTGGGGGGACTAACCCTTTAGAAAGGATTCAAGCTCCGATACTGTGCTGAATTGAATGGTGCAGACCTATGTCTGAGCTATTATGTCTGCCTGTATCCCTTCAGGGTATGTATCCAGCACCTACCGTGTACTATTGACGTTCTAGCAATAGACACATCAGAAGCAAAACTCAAAACCCCCCGTAGGTGGGTAGCTCACATGGAGGATAGATTGGGGAAAGGAGGGACATGGAAATAGAAGTAGACTGGGTGTTGGGAAGAGAAAATCATTGTGAAGAAAAATAGAGAAAGAATGAACATGTGGCCAGCTGAGTTGCATTTTTTTAAAAGGAGGGCAGGGAGGGTTTCACTGAGAAAGTGATGTGAGTAAAGACTATTAAGAAGTGAAGGAGCAAGCTGTACAAGCAGGTCTTGTGAAATGCAGTGCCCTTCTGTAACGCCCACACTGAAAGCCTACCTAATACCATTTTCAAAATAACCAGTCTTAAGAAAAAGGAGATTGCAAGTGGTGTTAAAAGGAAGGTGCTGAGGGCAAAGGGCATCTTGTGTGTCGTCTTGCTTTCTTGTAAACCCTTTGCTTGACCTTCTACTTACACAAGTATGACTCTGTAGTTTCTCACTCCATGAAACAGATACTTAGTGTGTGTTTCCCCACTTTTGAATCTTTTCTGGAAGAAAACAAATGTTTGCTTAATGAGAGGTTTGCTGGAGAGGTTTCTGGAAACCACAGTAATACAGAAAATCTGAGTGACCCTGGAGGGAGTTTAGTGACAGATTGAGAAAGCTGGTGCCTTGGTGCTGGGCAATGGTGGCGCATGCCTTTAATCCCAGCACTCGGGAGGCAGAGGCAGAGGATCTCTGAGTTAGAGGCCAGCCTGGTCTACAGAGTGAGTTCCAGGATAGACAAGGCTACACAGAGAAACCCTGTCTTAGAAAAAAAAAAAAAAAGACTCAGAACTATTTGGAGTAAATAATAGCAGACTAAGCAAGACTTAACTGTAGAGGGTAACTGTAGCATCTTTCTTTACTACCAGGAAAATGTATGACCTAAAGCATGAGCAAACAGCCAGGAGATGGCTGGAGATGTCCAGAGTCACTTCTGGTTGTCACAGTGGTATACTGGGGCGGGGTGCCGTAAAGCCTTCTATAGACATCTAGTTAGTAGGCCAGAGATGCTGCTCAACAGCCAGGACAGCCTATGAGTAAGAACCACTAGCCCCAGTTGTTAGTGCCAAAGGTTGAGAAACCCCAATGTGAAGACCTCTAATTCTCTTTACAGTTTAGGTCAGCTACAAGTCACCAAAACAGCATCCTGTTTTGTTTTTGTTTTTCATGTAATATCCATCTAAGAAAGAATAAATGTTTAAGACGACCAGATAGAATAGATTCCGTTATTCCACTGAATGCTACTACTGAAGGTTTTGGGTTTTTGAATGAGATTTATTTTGTTTTAATTGTGTGTGTTGGGTGAGTACTTGCATGAGAGTGTGGGATCCTCTGCATCTGGAATCACAGGCAGTTATAAGCTACCCTACTATGTGAGTGCTGGGAACTGAACTCAGGTCCTCCCTCTGTAAGAGCAGTGCATACTCTTAACTTGTGAACCATGTCTCCAGCCTGCTACTAAGGGCTTTCATCACAGATCTCAAGAACATTCACAACTTCCTTTAATGGCTTTGATGCATTGTGATGAAAAAAGAAAGCCTCTTGTAATAATAACTGACAATAACATAACAATAAAAAGAACCCATTGTCTCCTCCCATTTCCCATAACATCAGTCCTAGGAAAAGATTAGAAGATATTATATAATCAGTCTTCAGACACTATCTTGTGATTTAAAAACAGAAAAACATATAGGAAAAAAACAAAGCACTTGCTCTTACTCTCTGTTTACAACAAAGCAGTGAAGGCTCAGGCTGAGGGACTTCCTCAGGATTGTGTAGCTGGACTGAAACCCAGGACTCGGACCTGACAGTTGTGCTCTCCTGATGTGTTCCATGCCTTTATGCTAGGTTTCCAGCAGCATTTGAACAAATTCAAAACAGTTATCTAACCCATTACTGGTTTTGTCTCTTCTGAGGGCACATTTAAAAATATGGTTCGTAAGGCCAGGTGTGGAAATACACCCTTTGATCCCTGTGCTTAGGAGGCAGAGACATGTGACTCTCTGTAGGTTTTTGAACAGCCTGGTCTTCATAGTGAGTTCCAGGATACCTAGGAGCTATATAGACTCCGTCTCAACACATGAACACATACATTTGCCATAAGAGGGGAGTTTGAAATCAGAAAAAGAAAAATAAAACATCTGATTTCTGGTCAGGATTGTACCATTGACTTACTTTATGACTTCCAGCAAGACATAGAGTCTCTCTCTACCATAATTTGTCTATTCACAGGATGTAGGAATTTGTCTGTTCACAGGCTGCTCAGCAGTTAAGAGCACAGGCTGCTCTTCCAGAGGACCTAGGTTCAATGCTCAGTACCCACATGACAGTGAACAACTGTTGTGAAACTCCAGTTCCAGGGTATTTGACTCCCGTTCAGGCTTCCCTGGCCATGGAGCATGAACATAGGACACAGACCTGTATACAGGCAAAAGAGATTAATGCATGAGAAATTTGTCCATTCACTAAGTTCTTGTGTCAATAACATGATCTAAAACTTAAAGCCCATGATGGTCTTCTTAGTTTTTTTTTAATTATGTTGATTTATTTCCTTAAAATGTTGTACAGGAAAGCCAATATCAATATTGATAACAGGTGCAGTTCAGTGACCTACTTTTTGAAGGCCATAAACACAAGGATGGAGGTCATGTAACTTTTCTGTTGTTGAGACAAAGTCTTGTTGATTCTAAGCTGACTGAAATCCAATGTGCAGCTGAGGATGACCTTGAACTTACTCTTTTTTCTTTTTATTTATTTTTTAAATATTTATTTATTTATTTATTTATTTAGTATACAGTATTCTGTCTGCATGTATCCCTGCAGGCCAGAAGAGGGCACCAGATCTCATTACTGATGGTTGTGAGCCTCCATGTGGTTGCTGGGAATTGAACTCAAGACCTCTGGAAAAGCAGCCAGTGCTCTTAACCTCTGAGCCATCTCTCCAGCACTTATTTTTATTTTTGAGACAAGTTCTCACTTGTGTAGCTCTGGCTGGCCTGGAGTTCACTATATAGACCAGGCTAGCCTCAAACTCACAGAGATAGGCCTGCCTCAGCCTCCCTGACCTTGAACTTTGATCATCCTATTGGCCTCCAATAAACTACTTAGCTGAAAATGACCCTGAACTCCTAATCTTCCTACTTTGACCTCCCTGAATTTGCTAGGATTATAGGCGTATACTGACACCTGGCTTATGTGGTATCAGGGTCAAACTTACACACTATGCAAGCACTTTGCCAACTGAGCTGCCCTTCAACCCTGAACTTTATACCTGTCTGTACAACTTTAATTTAGAAGTTAAGCATTTTTTTTCTTCAGCACTAAGAACTAAATCTAGGGCCTCTTGAATAATAGGAAAGCACTCTACTCAGTTATATCCCCAGCAACCCCACATCACCACTGCCTTGTTTTAAGACATATATCCCGCCGGGCGTTGGTGGCGCACGCCTTTAATCCCAGCACTCAGGAGGCAGAGGCAGGTAGATCTCTGTGAGTTCGAGACCAGCCTGGTCTACAAGAGCTAGTTCCAGGACAGCCTCCAAAGCCACAGAGAAACCCTGTCTTGAAAAACAAAAAAACAAACAAAAAAAGACATATATCCCAGGCTGGCCTCAAACTTACAGTGTAAGTGACTGTTAGGATTTGCTGTGAAGAGACACCATGACCACAGCGACTCTTATAAATGAAAACATTTACTTGAGGTGGCAGCTTACAGTTTCAGAGCTTTAGTTCACTGTCGGCACATGGCAGCATGCAGGCAGACATGGTGTTGGAGAGGTAGCTGGGAGTTCTACATCTTGATTCAAAGGCAACAGGAAATGAACTGGGTCCCTGAATATAGCTTGAGCACAGGAGACCTCAAAGCCCATCTCCACAGAGACACACTTCCCCCAACAAGGCCACTCCCTCCAGGCAAGCATTCAAACACATGAGTCAGTGGGGATGGGGGCGCATACCTATTCAAAAACCCACAGTAGGCAAGGATGATTTCAAATTCTGACCCTTTTGCTGCTACTTCCTGAGTGCTAAGTTGACAGACTTGTACTTCCATGCCTGGTTTATGTGGTGCTAAGAATCAAACTCAGGGGTTTATACATGCCAGTCAAGCATTCTAATTGACTTCTATCCCCTTTTAAAAATGTTGCATTTTGAGATAGTTTTCTTAAGTTAAACAGGCTGACCTTAAACATGCTCTGTAGCCCAGAGAGGCCCCAAACTTGTGATCCTTTCAGCCTTAGCTTCATGAATAGCTGGGATTACAGGTCTATACCATCAGGCCCAGTTGAATGCTGCTTCTTAAGTGATGGTCAAAACCAAGAGGAGGGAGGTGTGTAACTGTGTGGTGTAAAGGCAAATTTGTCAAAATGGAAGGAAGGACATTAAGCCTAGCCGTATAGAAGCAGGGAGGAAGGCAGCCTTTGAGTATGTGAAAACCACCCTACAATTCAAGACAAAGTGTGGGAAAGTATATTTTAAATCCCAGTTTCCTCTTGGAATCAGATACTCTTCAGAAGAAGGGCCTAAGAGCCTATGTTGCCCTAGTTTAGCTTGTTGTACTGGTTATGAGAAACAGAGAAGGAACACCTTGAAGACCAGTAGGATTTCCATAATGAGCTAGCTGTTTATATATTTATTTTTAAATAGGTTAAACATGATAGCCAATCAACTAACCTGTGTGTCTTTGTTCCCTAAGCCCCTACAGGAGTGTGAGCAGCACTGCTGCAGCAACCAAGGCTCAGGTCCACATCTTGGGAAGGATATGGCCACTTCCTGGGGTGCTGTCTTTTTCATGCTGACGATAACCTGTGTTGGCAGCACTGTCTTCTACAGAGAACAGCAGACTTGGTTTGAGGGTGTCTTCCTGTCTTCCATGTGCCCCATTAATGTCAGTGCCAGCACCTTTTATGGAATAATGTTTGATGCAGGCAGCACTGGAACTCGGATTCATGTTTACACTTTCGTGCAGAAAACAGCAGGTAAGTGCAGCTGGGGCCCTTTGCAGTCTTATTGTCTGCACCTCAGCATCTTCTCCCAGAAACACATGTGCTGGGTGTGTCATGGCATAGAGAACCTTCCAGCTGTTGGATATAGTTCTTCAGAGATATTATTGATATTATTAGTTTAATGTGGAATTAAGAGACACTTGTGTGGGACAGACCAGGGGAGTAGCTCAGTTTGGGGAGCATTTGCCTAACATCCAAGTCCTGGGTTTGATCCACAGCAGCACATAAATTGTGCATGGTGATGCATGCCTGTAATCCAAACGCTTGGGAGGTGAAAGCAGGAGAATCAGGAGTTCAGGGTCATCCTCAGCTACACAGGGTATTTGAGACCAGTGTACAACACAACAGGCACTGTCTCAAAAGGATGAGAGAGTTTTTGTCCGACTACAGCTGTAATTTGTCCTCCGTCTTCTCTAAAGGTTAAAGAATATTGAAAATGTTGGCAGTGATCCTGGGGAGAAGTATCTGTATGAGTTTTCACTGCCATCCTTGGAAAGAGGACCCAGGGGACCTTGAAGACTCACTTTTTCTGAACTGTCAGTTTTCTTTCCTTGAGTTATCTGAAGAGTCCAGGGAGCTCAGGCAGGAGGACCACAATTCAAGCCCGCTAAGGGTTGTGTAGGGAGTTGAAGGCCAGCCTGGACTACATAGTGAAACCCTGTCTCAAATTTTATTAGCAGTTGGGGCGGAGGAGGAAAAGCTAGAGTCCCAGCATTACACCCTTCGGTCTCCCTTCCTAATACTTCTGCAAAACATTCTTCTCAGCTGGGTGGAGACTGTTTTAATCTACTAATTCATACAGCAGTGTCTAGAGAATAGCATCCGAAGCTGTCTAACATCTGCTCCCTCTCCCTCTCCCTCCCTCCCTCTCTCTCTTCCATGGGCAAAATAGGACAGCTCCCCTTTCTGGAAGGTGAAATTTTTGATTCTGTGAAGCCAGGACTTTCTGCTTTTGCAGATCAACCCAAGCAGGTGAGTGTTATGATTGACAGGTTTGTTTCCATGTTATGTATGCTAGGGAGCAAACCCAGGTGAGTGCTCTCTTGAAGCTCTGCTTGAGAACCCTTTTCACTTCTTATTTGGTACAGCACCTCCCCCAGGTTGGCACGGCTGACCTTGAACTCACCCAGTGGCATTAGAAGGCCTTAAAATTGTGATCCTACTGTCTCACCTCTTGAATAGGTGTGACCAGGCCAACAAAACCAGGCCTGGCTAATTTGATGTTTAGGGTCTCCGTGCCTTGGTAAGTCTACAACACCTCTGTCATTTAACATCTCATGATGTTCAGTAATATGGCAGCTCACAACTGTCTGTAACTCCAAGATCTGACACCCTCACTTTAGATATACATACAGGCAAAACACCAATGCACATTAAATAAAAATAAATAATTTTTAAAAGAATAAGTTTAGCCGTGCGTTGGTGGCGCATGCCTTTAATCCCAGCACTTTGGAGGCAGAGGCAGGCAGATCCCTGTGAGTTCCAGCCAGCCTGGTCTCCAGAGCGAGTGCCTTCTCTAAGTTTTGCTTCTGCAGACAAAGGGGCTTCGCTTGGAAGGAGTAGATCAGCACTGCTAAGTGGCCTGCCATTAGATAAATGTGTTTTCTCTTTTAAAGGGTGCTGAGACTGTTCAAGCACTCTTAGAGGTGGCCAAAGACTCAATCCCCAGAAGTCACTGGAAAAGGACCCCAGTGGTTCTGAAAGCAACAGCTGGACTGCGTTTACTGCCAGAACAGAAAGCCCAGGCTCTGCTCTTAGAGGTGATTTTGAATCTGAATCTTGGATAATGCTGTTTTTTGGTTTGGGTTTTTCTTTTCTTTTCTTCTTCTTTTGAAGTGACTATTGCTTTCAGTATTCCATCATTGCTCAATCATTGTGGTGACTGGGATAGTAGCTAGTCATTTACATTTTAAATTATCACCCTTAAATTTAAAGATGTTTCTCTAAAAAAGTTCAAAGTACTCCCTTCCAAGATGTTTTTATTTTTGTTTTGAATATGTTTGTGTGTTTGCACTCCCTTCCATATTTTTATTGCATTTATTTGTTTGTTTTAAATGTGTTTGTGTGTGTGCACTCAACATGTGCCAGCGTGGAGGTCAGAGGACAACTTACAGTTGGTTCTCACCTTCCACCAAGTGGATCCTAGGGATCAAACTCAGATCATCAGGCTTGGTGACAAAAGCCTGTTCCCACTGAGCTTCTCACCTGCCCTCTAAGATAGTCTTTATTTGAATTTTCTAAAAGTATAATATAGAAATGGTTTTTAAAAAACTCTATGCAAGAAATTTTATGTATAATAAAATGTGTCTATTTATAGGGCTGGGGAGATAGCTCAGAGTCTGGGCATTGGATCCCCAGCTCATGCATAAAAATACCAGGCATGGTGGCACACACTCCAAGTCTCAGTGCTGGGGAAATGGAGACAGGATCCCTGGGGCTTGTGAGCCAGCCAACCTAATCTAATCATTCAGGTCCCAGTGAGAAATCCTGCCTCAAAAATTAAGGTGACAGACCTTGAGAAAGGAAACTCAAAGTTGACCCCTGCTTAAAATGTTGGGGATATTTTTTTTTCAGATTGTTTTTATTTGAATTAGAAAGAAGATTGTTTTACTTGACAATCCCAGTTCCCTTCTCCTTTCCCTCCTCCCCTGCCCAACTAAGACCCTACCTATCACATATGCTTTCTGCTTCCCAGGGAGGGTGAGGCCTTCCATAGGGTGTCATCAGAGTCTAACATATCCTTTGGGATAGGGCCTGGGCCCACCCCCGTGTGTCTTGGTTCAGGGAGTATCCCTCTATGTGGAATGGGTTCCCAAAGTCCACACCTATGCTAGGGATAAGTACTGAACAGCAGGTTGTAGATTTCCGAGGTTTCCTCAATGAAATCCATGTTCCTGGGGTCTGGATCAGTCCCATGCTGGTATCCCAGCTATCAGTCTGGGGAGCAAGAGTTCCCCAATGTTCAGGTCAGTTGTTTCTGTGGGTTTCACCAGCCTGGTCTGGACCCCTTTGCTCTTCATTCTTCCTTCTCTGCATCTGGATTTCATTTCAGTGATTAGTTGTGGGTGTCAGCTTCTACTTCCACCAGCTGCTGGATGAGGGCTATCGGGTGGCATATAAGTCAGTCATCAATCTCATTATCGGGAGAGAGCATTTAAGGTAGCCTCTCCTCTGTTGCTTAGATTGTTAGCTGGTATCATCTTTGTAGATCTCCAGACATTTCCCTAGTGCCTGATTTCTCTGTAAACCTAAAATGTCTCCTTCTATTATGGTATCTCCCTTATTGTCTATTCTTCCCATTACTCAAACTTTCTGCTCCTTCATGTCCTCTGCATCCCTCCTCCTCTTCCCTTCTCATTCTCCTAGCTCCCTCCCCTCACTTCCCGTAGAAGGGCTTTAAACTTCTAGTTACAGGGAATATTTTTAAACCATTGTCCTTCAAATAAAAAGTTTAAGTATAGTTTTATTAAACTTAATATTTTATATTTTATATATGTACTTATATAATAAACCTATTACAAGACATAATAAACATTAAATTCCATGTTGTAAAGAACATTTATAGGTAGACTCTCATAATTAAAAAAAAGAATCACAGAGCTGGCATTGGTGACGCACGCCTTTAATCCCAGTACTCGGGAGGCAGAGGCAGGCAGATCTCTGTGAGTTTGAGGCCAGCATGGTCTCCAGAGCGAGTGCCAGGATAGGCTCCAAAGCTACACAGAGAAACCCTGTCTCGAAAAACCAAAAAAAAAAAAAAAAAAAAAAAAAAAAAAAAAAAAACAAAATCACCATAGAGCTGTAGAGTGGGATTCTGCCCTCTAAAGAAGCTTCCAGTTTGTGGTGAGACATTAACAAGGTCTTACCAGGTTTTCTTGACTGTCAGCACATAGGGTTTAAGTCCTTGTCTAAGCATGTCTGTGAGAAATCAAATCCTAAATCTTTTTTTTAAAGAATTACTACATACAGAAGAACAATTATCTTTTTTTAAGAGTTTATTTATTTATTATGTATACAACATTCTGCTTCCGTGTATATCTGCACACCAGAAGAGGGCATCAGATCTCATAACGGCTGGTTGGGAGCCACCATGTATGTGGTTGATGGGAATTGAACTCAGGACCTCTGGAAGAGCAGTTGGCCCTCTTAACCTCTGAGCCATCTCTCCAGCCCTCTAAATCTTTTTTTTTTAATTTATTATTATTTTTATTTATTTATTTTGTTTTGTTTTGTTTTGTTTTTTAAGACAGCATTTCTCTGTGGCTTTGGAGGCTGTCCTGGAACTTGATCTGTAGACCAAGTTGGTCTCAAACTCACAGAGATCCACCTGCCTCTGCTGGGATTAAAGGCTTGTGCCACCATTGCCTAGGGAAACCAACAAGGGCTGTTTTTTAGAGAACACATCCAATGGGATCGTTGTTGATCATCTGTTTTACTGCTTCTCAGAATCGAGGGTTTTGCACTTTTTCCTTAGGTAGAGGAGATCTTCAAGATGTCACCTTTCCTAGTCCCAGATGACAGCGTTAGCATCATGGATGGATCCTATGAAGGTGGGAGAAATGGAAAAATATATACTTTGGGGAAAGGGGTGGAGTCAATGAAAGATCCAATCAAAGGAACTGGGAATAGGCTCCAGCATGAAAGAAACAGGAAAGATCCAAGGGATAGGGCAAGGAGACAATGCTCTAGACATGGAATTTAGAGACACGAGAATAGAGGGGAGATGATTTGGAATGTAACCCTTGTTTTTCTCTCTTGTAGGCATATTAGCTTGGGTTACTGTGAACTTTCTAACAGGTAAATTAATTAGATCTTGAAGTTTATCTTATAACCTTACCTGGCTTTTACAGTTTTTGTTTCTTTGATTTTACCAGGAGGGTAAAATCCACTTCTCTCTTCCTATACTGTTCTTTCTTTAAAAGAGGTGGCTGGGTTGGAGAAATGACTCAGCAGTTAAAAGCACTTATGGGCCTGGCAGTGGTGGTGCACACCTTTAATCCCAGCACTTGTGAGGCAGAGGCAGGCCGATCTCTGTGAGTTTGAGGCCCAGTCTGGTCTACAAAGCTACACAGAGAAACCCTGTCTCGGGGAAAAAAAAAAAAAAAAAAAAAAAAAAGCACTTGGGATTTTTTTCCAAAGACCCTTAGGTGGCTTACAACTGCCTGTAGTTTCAGCTTTAGACCTCTAGCCTCTGGACAGCCACACTCATGTGTATATACCCATAATTAAAATGGAAACAAATACCTTTTTTAAAAAGAAGAGGGTAGGGGGATAAGCTAATTTTATAGTCTGCTTTCAAGGCCTCAGCTGCAGCAAGAGACCCTCTGAATTTACATTAGCCTGCAGCCTCTGGGCTCAGGGAGCAGTGAACCATCACAAAATACCTTTAGTGTACAATAAGAGCAGGAGAGAACCTGCAGACAGAAAGTGTCTGGATGGCTTGGGTACTCATCCCTTGCTCTCATTAACAGGTCAACTGCATGGCCACGGTGAGGAGACTATGGGGACCCTTGACCTGGGGGGTGCCTCCACCCAGATCACATTTCTACCCCAGTTTGCGGTGAGTCTTTTTATTAAGACCACGTTGCTCGCACCCTTAGAAAGCACTGTGGTGGTAAGAAAGTGGCACCTGATTTGAGACATCATCTCTACAGCTGTTAACAGTGAACAGGCTAAGTAGTCAGTTAATGAGCAGAGAAAGTCTCTGCTTCCTCAAGCCTTGGGAGACTTGCAGTTTAATCTTCCCTATCTCTGATTTTGGGGGAGAGGGTTGTGGATAGTGGTAAATCTTCATATAATTCCAGATGCTGAAGTCTTTTTGCTTTTTCTGATTTGCAGAAAACCCTGGAACAAACGCCTAGGGACTACCTCACTTCCTTTGAGATGTTTAACAGCACTTTTAAGCTCTATACACATAGGTGAGGAGGGGTTGGGGAAGAATAATAGTTCACATTGCATTACTTTTCCTAACTTTTCAAAGCATTTTTGTATTTGTTATTGTATCTTATCAGCCTCAGAAAGTCTCTGCCAGTCCCCTAAGCCCTGTCTACTGAAACCTAAGCCATACCCCAAATCTGAGAAACTTAGGAGGTGTCCCCATTTTTGGCCTGAAAGTATGTGATGTAAGAGTCAGTTTTTCTTTAGATGGGAACATGTGGAGAAGGCACAGAACTCAGCAGAGCTCCATGCCAACTCATTCGATCTGTGCTCCAGGTGTTCTAGACTAGTATGGAATTGATAGGAGCTAAAATAATGAGAGCTTTTTCTGGGGCTGGTTCTCAGTCTGGACCACCGGGAACAATCCTATTCTTCAGCATCACACCTATGAGCAGTTTCTGGCATATCCTTGATCCAGACTACAGAAGTCTTCCTTTATTGGTCATGTGAATCATATGGCACAGAGATAAGGCCAAGTTTCCATCTTTCCAAAGGGAGGCAGAGAAACCATGTCCCATTTGAAAAAGGCAGCAGTGGGCTGAAAACATCCAGAGCAGCCTGACATCGGTCAATCCTGTCTTTTACAGTTACCTGGGATTTGGATTGAAAGCTGCAAGACTGGCAACCCTGGGAGCCCTGGAAACAGAAGGTTTGTCTGAGTACCAGTTGGTGGCAGGAGATCGTGAGAGTGATGCCAAAATGCAGCTTGCCTCTTTCCTTCGTGGCATTCCTTCCATGGAGCAAAGGGTTATGTTGACTTGAGAAGCAAATGTTGCATAACACATAAAAATGGCTGGTGCTGTGGTATGTGCTTGTCACCTTGAGAGTGAGAGCTACTCATAAGGGGTAAAATCCTGTGGCTGCAGGCTGAAGCCTGCAGTGTTTGGTAGCAACTTGCACAAGCCTTTGTCAGGAAACAAGGTCCGTACGGTTTGCCAAGTGGAATGACTGAGCAGTTCCTTTTCTATCTCCACAGCTGGGCTCAGGAAGACTGGCTGCAATCCCAGTTTTGTGATTGGGAATAAATCATTGACCTTTCTGTGCCCTTAAACATGATTTTGTATCTAATGCACTCAGGACAGCGCCTTGCTCACAGTAAGCCAGTACTGGGATGAGGAATATATAGCATTTCAGAGTTTACTGAGTATCTTCAGTTCTGTTCCATTTAACCTGTCAATCAGTGGAAGAATTTTCCTCTATTAAAGAAAGGAACTTAGTTTACTATGTTTTTTTTTTTTTTCCTTTGGGATATGATAAATCCTCTGGCAAATGGGCATATGTATGAAAGTTTGCCTCTGACCTTGAGGGTTCACCTCTACCACACACCTGTGAAGAATCCATGCCACAGGATGCAGCCAGGGAACTCATTTCATAGGATTCTGAGGCCCAGAATTCCTTTCAGCCTCACACACTTGCTTTCTTGTGCTGTGGTTCTTTCAGGGACTGATGGGCATACTTTTCGAAGTGCCTGTTTACCAAGATGGCTGGAAGCAGAGTGGATCTTTGGGGGTGTGAAATACCAGTATGGAGGCAACCAAGAAGGTGAATAGTGTTTCTTCCCTGTATAAAATTACCTTCCTTTATGTTCTGGGAAAGTCCTATAGGAACCTGTTCCAGAGCTCAGGAGAGACTTAGTATTTTGAAAGCACTTACACAGAGACCAGCAAGCAAGGCAGCAACTAATCTGCATCCTGTTCTGAATCCCGTGGTGATGTTAAAAACCTGTTGTAATAGCCAGGCAGTGATGGTGCATGCCTTTAATCCCAGCACTCTGCTCTCTGTGAGTTGGAAACCCTGTCTGGGAAAAAAAGAGAGGGATGGTGGGAGACAGAGAGAGAGAGAGAGAGAAACCTGTTGTGACCTGTCCAGTGCAGCAGTGTGAATCTCTGTTTCTGTTTCTGGCCCAGTGTATGTTTAACAATTTCAGTTACAGTAAAACTCAAAATTGAGATAAGAATCATTCATTTTAGGTACTATAGAAGGCACAGACAAGGGGGAATTTTGTTAGCTCACAGAAGGAAACAAGCTTTCTGAGTAATTGCTCACAAAGACCATGAAACATAATGGCAAGCAGGAGCACGATGGCTGTGGCTGTTTTTGGTAAACACAGGTTCAAGGAAAGGAGCTGCCATGGACACCAGTGGTGGGGTTAAAGAAGGTTACACATCTTTTTTAAGACCTATCAAGACTCAGCCACCTTTTGTGTTTTCTTTAGTCATTTTATGTTTTTGTTGTTTTCAAGAATTATTTATTTTTTATGTGTATGTATGTGTTTTATGTGTTTTGCCTGCGTTTTTGTCTGTGAAGTATGTGTGTGCCTAGTACCCATGGAGGTCAGAAGAGGGAGTCAGATCCCCTGGGACTGGAGGTACAGACAGTTAGTTATGAGCCTTCACATGGTTGCTGGGATCTGAACCAAGGTCCTCTACAAGAGCAGGAAGCAGGACTGGAATACTGGTTGCTCTTTCAGAGGACCCAGGTTCAATTCCCAGCACCCACATGGTGGCTCACAACTGTCTGAAACTCCACTTCCAGAGGATCCAATGCCTCTTCTGGACTCTGAAGGCACCGGATAATTGGTGGTTCACAGATATACATGCAGGCAAACACATAAATATAATAACAAGTTTTTAAATGAGCAGCCAATGCTCTTCATTGAGTACTGTCTTCAGCCCCCAGGTATTGTTTTGTCATTGAGGGGGCCCCAGGTCTTCACTGCATCCTTGCAGCAGTTACAGCGGTTTCTGCTGTGGCTTCTTGTCCTCAGTTTCTCAGGCTTAGAAAGCCAGTGCTACCTGACTGTAGTCTTCCTAGCGTGCAGGCCCAGGGCCTTTTACTTGTTACCCTCTTCTCTCTGAATGTAATGATTAAGAGGGTCCAGTCAGTGCATTTGTGGACAACTCATGTCTTGAATAGCTTGGACCCTGTCACTTTAGCATCTGGGTCAGCTTCCCCTTCAGATTGCCCAGCTGTTGCAAGAGCTCCTCATCCCCCTTGGTGTGAAGGAATGGCTCAAGCCTAACCTCAGCCACGGTGATGCAGCCCCCACTACTGCTGCTCAAAGGCTGGCTCTATCAGCCTGCCACAGAAAGTGACTCTTGACACGTCTCATTCTCAAATGACATACACTTTTGCCCTCACAGGGGAGATGGGCTTCGAGCCCTGCTATGCAGAAGTGCTGAGGGTAGTGCAGGGGAGACTCCACCAGCCAGAAGAGATTCGGGGAAGCTCCTTCTACGCCTTCTCCTACTACTATGACCGAGCTGCCGATACACACTTGATTGGTGAGTTCATTGCCTGGGGTCAGGCCACACAGGAAGAGAGAGGGACTATGCTGAGAAAGGTCAAGAGCGTTAAAGGATGTGTTGGCTGGAGTGATTGCCAGCTTTTCCAGTAGTGTTACATTAGCCACTAGAATGGAAAGGTGAATATACTCAGGGTCTAACTGTTCATAAAGGCTGTTTGAGACAAGGTTTTACTATGCAGCCCAGGTTGGCCTCGAATTAATAGTCATCTGTCTGCCCCCAGCCTTCTGGGTTACACAAATGTGCCACCATGCTTGACTTTGTATCTGAAGTCTTTTTGCATGTTTTCAATACTGGGGTAGAATCCAGAACCTCTGTACATGCTGGGCTCTACCACTAAATTGTATTTCAAGCCCCCTTTTTAACTTTTCATTTTGAGATGGATCTCTCTAAGATAGCTTTGAGATTATGTACCCTGTACAAATAGGCCTTGTACTTGTGATAACCCTGCCTCAGCCTCTTGAATAGCTGTGCTACCAGGCCCAACTTGCTTTATATCTTTATTACAAAACTGTATGTTAGTTAGCTGTTTTATAATTGTGACTAAATATTGAGAAACATTAGAGGAGTGAGGGCTTCTTTTGGAGCACGTTTTCAGAGGTTTCAGTCCATGGTCAGCAACTTCCTCATCTCTGCCACAGTAAAGCAGAAAACAATGGCGGAAGGACGTAGAGGAACAGATTTGCTTACCTCATGGCATCCAGGAAGGAGGGACCTAGATAGAGCCCTCAACAACACACTCCCCCCACCTCAGCCCCACTCCAAAAGTTCCCATTACCTCCCAATTATACTATCAAGGTAAGAATGCATCTGTAGCTTAGTTTATTGAGGATGGCACACCCCTATGGTCCAGCCACCTCTCAGTGATTGGGGACTCCACTGTCTGGGGACTAAGCCTTCAACACATGAACCTACTGGAGACATTTCCTACCCAAATCATAACAAATTGACATGCAGTATGTGCGCAGGTTGCTTTCATACAGTTTGCCAAACCTTGCCATGTCTGTATCTGTGAACCTTCCCACATTCAAGATATGATAGCCATCACCCCCAATTTCCTGTTCTTTTAGGAATATTTTTTCTTATCACAGAAGTTGTGTTTTTATTTAGGTGTGAGTACACACATGATCTGTCATGACCTGAGAGGGATGATTTGCTGCCCTGCTTACTATACCTTTTAATTTATGTATATGTGCTTGTATGACTTTGTAAGTACCATGTGTGTAGGTGTCTTCAGAGAACGGAGGGCAGCAAATTCTCTGGACTAGAATTACAGGTGCTTATGAGCCACCTGGTGTGGGTTCTGGAATAACCAGAGCCCTCTGCAAGAGCAGTAAGTGCTCTTAACCATTGAGCCATCTCTTCAGTGCCTCCCCTCCCCCCATTTACTAAACTTTTAAATGAACCTACATTTTTATTGTGGTTAAATATGTAATACAAAATGGGTAACATGCATCAATTGTACATAAATAAAACAGGCAGCATGGATTTGTATTCTACAGATACCATGTTTATCATTCTTTTATGCTGTAAGTTCTGTATATTTCTAGTTTTTGTTACTATATATCACAGGGATAAATGTCCTTGTTTCTTTGAGGTTTTTGACACTGGCTATTCTGTTTCATTTTAGATTATGAAAAGGGCGGTGTTTTAAAAGTTGAGGATTTTGAAAGAAAAGCCAGGGAAGGTAAGTGTCAGGAAATTCTTGAAGTTGGGTTGTCAAGTGTGGCTGCCAGTGCAGGGTCTCTTGCCACTGTCTCCCTTCTGAGCCTTCCAGTCTGCTGGGAGATGCATTAGGTAATGTCAAATAAGAATATGGGAATCTAAGATACTTCAGGGAAATCGTTTAAAAAAAAAAAAACTTGCCACACTTTTCCTATTGTTATTATTGCAATACTATTATCTGTTTTTGTTTTTCTCGTTTTGTTTTGAGTCAAAGTCTTATGTAGCTCATGATGGCCTCACATTTGCAGTGTAGCTGAGGATAACCTTGACTTTTGTTCCACCTCTCAAGTGCTAGGATTTAGGCATGAGTCACTGTGACTGATTTATGTGATAGTAGGGATGGAATCCAAGTTCATGAATGCTAAGAAGTCATTCTAACACCTGAGCTAGCTATATACCTAGCCTGGCATGCTCTCTCTTTCTCTCTTTAAACTGGAACAGGGTTAGCAGTAATAAAAAACTGAAACACCAGAATGCATGGTGCGTCCTTGAGAGAGTAAATCTAAAATACAAAGGATCTTTTCCAGTGCCCACAGGAGACAGTTACATTATATTTCTCTATCCTCTGGGCCTCAATTAGGGACTTGGTATTGAGTGGCTACAGTATGTGGTAGAAATTTGTAAAGCAGGGTACTGAGAGTATAACTCAGGTGTTGAGAACTTGCCTGGTATGTGCAAGGCCCTGGGCTTGATTTCTAGCAGAGCCTTTCCCCTGCTTATTCTCCCCTCCATATCCATAAGTGGGAAGTAAACTAAGATGCACACAAATATGAATAGATGAATTTTGTTTTGTTTTGTTTTGTTTTTTGAGACAGGCTGTCCTGGAACTCATTCTGTAGACCTTGCTGGCCTTGAACATAGAGATTGGCCTGCCTCTGCCTCTTGAGTGCTGGAATTAAAGGCGACCATTGACACCACACCCGGAGAATAGATAATTTCTTACCAGGAATGTGCAGATTCTAAAGAGGCTATGGTCTTGCTTCAGTACACAGAAGTATACAGTACACAGTATACAGAAGTATACAGTACATAGTATACAGAAGTATACAGTACATAGTATACAGAAGTATATGGTACACAGGCTAGTCTCCATGAAGTCCAGGCACCAACTAAATGGAGACAGTTTTGCTTATTCAGGCCCCCCTACCTACAGCTAGAGAAGATCCTACATCTCTTAATTGCAAACCTGAATGCTGTTTGCTCTTTCACTTTTAGTGTGTGATAACTTGGAGAGCTTCACCTCAGGCAGTCCTTTCCTATGCATGGATCTCAGTTACATCACAGCTTTATTAAAAGATGGCTTTGGCTTTGCAGATGGCACCCTCTTACAGGTAAAAAAGAGTACTGGAATCTTACAGCTGCCTTGTTGCTTTGGGAAAGAACTTGTTTAGTAATCACAGCAGCAGATGTTCTTGTTTGGGCTGAAGCCAGGGCCTCCTGCTAGATACCACAAACACATTTCACACTAGGATGCAGTTATAGTCTGAGTGTAGTACCAGGCATGCTGTCCTGCAGGACACTAGACAGAAAGACTTGGAGCCCACTGAAGATATTCAAGTCATGTTGCTTATGAAGTCAGTTTAGAACTCAGTGAGAAGCAGCATTGAAGGAGAGATGGGAGAAGTAAACATCCAGAATACAGTGCAAGCAACTTGGAAGGGCCGCACTTCCTGAATCCCAGGTTCCTCATCTTAGGTTTGTATGCCCTCACCTGCCACTGATTATGTGGTTGTAAGAACTTAAGCTGATGTTTGATCAAGAGAGCACAAGATAAAAAGTAGCTGGAGTCATCACACAGACATGTATTCAGAGAGGTTGTGAGGCACATACACCTTCCCTGTAACATTGGCTTACTTACCCCTTGTCTTATTTTACACAGTGATGTTAGCACTGAGTGACTGACTTCATCAATGTCTCTAGCATATGTTGTATATCCTGTATATTCTAAATCTGCTGGATAGTTAGTTGAATCTCTTCTAATAGACTATGCAGCTTGAGGACGAGGATAGCATTTTAACCATCTTTGTAAATATAATTTGTAATCAATAGTGGTATAGAAAGTAAGAAAATCAATTGTATGAAATTCATAAGATATATTTTAGAGGGGCTGGAGAGATGGCCTAGTGGTTAAGAGCACTTGCTGCTCTTGCAGAGGACCCAGGTTTGGTTCCCAGGACCCACATGTTCACTCACAACCACCTATAACTACAATTCCAGGGGATCTGACACTGCCTTCTGATCTCTGTGGGTACCAGGTACACACATGGTACACATACATAGTGTAGTTAAAACACTTATACTCAAAATAAAAAATGTATGTTTTAGAGGCTGGAAAGAAGTTAAGAAGGTCGTTGCATGTCTCAGAAGTTAAGAATATTGCTGCTTGTCTTAGTTAGGATTTCTATTGCTGTGAGGAAAGAAGACCACAGCAACTCTTAACCAGAAACATTTCATTGGGTGGCTTGCTTACAGCTCAGAAATTTAGGCTATTATTGTCATGGTGGGAAGCAAGGCAGCATGCAAGCAGACATGGTGCTAGAGAAGGAGCTGAGAGTTCTGACATCTTGACCCACAGGCAACAGGAAGTGGTCTGAGACACTGGGTATGGCTTGAGCATTTATGAGACCTCAAAGCCCACAGTGACACAGTGACATACTTCCTCTAACAAGGCCATACTTCTGTAACAAAGCCACACCTCCTAATAGTGCTACTCCCTATGAGCATGTGGGGGCCAATTACATTCAAACTACTACAGCGCTCTTCCAGGGGACTAGTGTTTATTTCCTAGCACCTAATCAGGTGGCTCACAACTACCTGTAACTCCAGCTCCAAGAGATCCAACACCTATGACCTGCACAGGCACCTGCACTCATAGGTACATACCCACAGGCAGACATATCCACACATAATTTTAAACACAATAGAGCTGAAAAATATTTTTTAAAAGATCTATTTTACAACAAGTAGTTTATTACAGATGAAATAGAGCCTTCACGTGCTGAAATCAATGAGGAAGGAGAAGAAAGAGTCTTAGGAAAACAATTAGGTAAACACTAATCTAACTCCCCTTTCTGTAATTGAGGGACCAGCTCTAAAGTTTTGTCCAAAGCAATGAAGGCACTGAGCTAAAGACAGTGTGGTGCAGAATGCCTTACCCAGAATCAGAAACTGAGAATATGCTTTTCTACCCTAAATGCATTCCCAACTCTGCCAGGTCCCTTCCCACCTCATCCATGAACATTACATTACAATTGCCTTATCAGCTTAAGGCAATCCCGAATCCTTTTCTGACAAAATCTCTCTAGAAATGTCTGGATAGTAATGCTTCCTGGGCCCAAAGTACTGAGGCCTTGAGCATGCTGGAGTGGGGGCAATTAGGGCTTGGCTCCAAGTGCTCTTTATTAGCTGTCCAAAGGCCATGCTTGCTTATGTCGAAAATGGGATGAAAATGTGAAGACGACTTCTTCTTCTTCTTCTTCAACAGCTCACAAAGAAAGTGAACAACATAGAGACGGGCTGGGCCCTGGGAGCCACCTTTCACCTGCTGCAGTCTCTGGGCATCTCCAGCTGAGGCTAAGCATGTCCTTGGAAACCTGCATTTCTGAACTTTTTTTTACAGGAAGGAGAGGACTCAGGCATTGTCTGAACTACTCTGGGGATAAGCCTGTACTAAAACCCATTGACTGGCTTTCTTATGAGGGAGGGGGTTTATAGATGAGTGTTACCCCTTGAGCCTAGTGATTTGGGCTTAATCAATTTTGCACATCTAATGTGAACAACTCCCTAACCACTTGGCAAGTGCACAGCTGGTGCCAGAGTACAAATCTTTTGAGATTCTTTGTATGTCACAGAGTCCTGTGAAGAAAATAGAGTAGGTTTGGAACTCCATGTTAGATTGGGAGTTCAGAGAACGGTCCCTGGGAACCAAAGAAAAATCTCATTTCAACCCTTGGAGTGCCTCATTCCTTTGAATGTTTTAGTTTTTGTTTTTTTTGCTTATAAGCTAAATTAAGCTGACTTACTGAAGTCCCATAAGCTATCAATACTGGTAGTTTATTTTTTTCTTCCTACCCTTATTACATCCCTACCCTAAGACCCAAGGTGGGAAATACCTGGTTTTGCTTTCCATCTATCTATAATTCAAAGGGCGGAAAAGATACTATATTAAATTTGTATGATTCTGTGGCACAGTAGATTAACCAATTTAGAGCTTAGAGTTGTCCTGGGTATTTAATTTTTAGATAGGGGTCATGTTATGTTGTTCAGGGTGGCCTGGTACTTACTGTGTAACCCAGGCTACCTTGAATTATCAATTCTCCTGCCTCAGCCTCTTGAGTCTTGGGGTTACAGGTGTGAGCCATCATGCTCACCTCATTTTAAAGCTTAGCAAGATGGAGAGAGTACCTCTTTAACTGTGCCTGGATTAGAGCTGTAAGGAAGAGGCCTCCTGGCTGCAAGGGACAGCTGTTGCTTCCTTACTACCTTCACTTCCCAGTCTACTAGTCTCTGGGCTAGTGAACACCCAGCCTTAGAGATGTGTGCATACCCAGTGCCAGCACCGCCTCCCAGGCCAGTGTGTTTAAACTAGTACCTTTGTATTTCTGTGAAATACAACTGCACCCTAGTTTTGGTCTGTGGTTAGAAGTTAGTGTGTGTGCTATCTGAATCTAAACATTACCAACGCTGTCAGTTTGTCTTTTGGGGGTCAGGGTGTGGAAAGTGCTGGGGATTGAACTCAGGACTTCTTGCATGTTAGGCACAATGTGCTACCACCATGCTTTTATATTAGTGCTTTCCTGCCTGGGCCCTTGCTGATTTTAGCTACTGCTTTCTGAATTTCTTGTCTAGCTCAGGGTTTCATATCCCCTTTCCAGTGAGACCCAACATCTGATTTCATTGGCTCTCTTGGCCCATGTCAGAACAAGGACTGACATTTCTAGAGAACCATATTTTTTCTCTCAGGCCACTCTGTGTTGAAGTTGAACACAGGTTGTCATGCATAGTAAGCATGGGTGCTCTACTACATTATAGTCATTATCTTAAAATTTTTGCCAGGCAGTGGTGGCACACACTTCTCATTCTAGCACTTGGGAGGTAGAGGCAGGTGGATCTCTGAGTTTGAGGTCATCCTGGTCTACAGAGTGAGTTCTAGGACAGTCAGGGCTACACAGAGAAACCCTATCTTGAAAAAAACCAGAAAAACAAAAAAGTCATCATGTCGTTTCTTGTGTGACCGATTGGCTTGCCTCCTGCTCAGCTCTGGGTCTGAAAGGTCTCTGCTGCTCAGGTCCTCTATCGTAGCACTTTACCCCTTCCTTCTCCCTCACTAGTCACCTCCTTCCTTCCACTCCTCACAAAGGATGTGAACATGCCTGGCCCCATGGAAGGCCCCGGAAGCTTCTTTTTGAAGCCATTGCATTGAGTCAATGCGTATTACCGACTGCTGTGTAAAAAAGTAGGCGAATGTGTAAACCCCCCCCCCCCAATTTTAGGAGTTTTGTTCTGTTTTGATTAAATGTGCAATTTCTTCAGATTTTCACACTGAGAATATGCCTTGAAACCAGTTTCACTGTTGCTTAAGTTAGACTTGAGTTCCCTAGACACAAATTATCATTCACCTTAGACAGCACATACTATAGGAAGGCATGCTGAGCCTGGTTCAAACTTCTATTACTAGTTCATCTTCACTTACTGTCTCCTTCAAAGCAATGCTCCCAGGTACACCTTGAATTCCAGCACCTGGAAGACCGAGGTGGGGGGATCTATCTCTTGAGTTCAAGGTCAGCCTGGTCTACAGAATGAGTTCCAGGTCAGGGCTGTTACATAGAGACACCCTGTCTCAAAAAAACAAAACAAACAAGAAACCCACAATGTTCACACATAATGAAACAGATTTTCTATATCAAAAACAGCCCACAGATAAAATCTAATTTCCTATGTAATGCACACTCAGTGTACCTAGCAGGTTTCTCCATCCAGCTTGTTTCCACTTAGAAGGTCACTGGTTTTTATAGGTTCATTAGCTAAGAGCTACCTCCTTTTGTTCAGTCATCTGTCTCCTACTCCAAAAGCTTTTAGAATCTTTGAAGGTAACTAAATTTTTATGGCTTTTAAAAAAAAATGAGGCGTACTTTCTAGGCTGTTTACCAGGTCTACTAAAAAAAAAAAAAAAATTAGACCAGTCATAGTCCACTTAATGCTGTTTCAGTTGAGAGAAACTGAGCTGCTTCCCCAAGAGTAAGCTCTACAACAGGCCTTATAGCACAGGCCTGTAATCATAGCTAACTTGGAGCTGAGGCAGGAGGATTACAAATCAGACTTACTACATAGCCAATTTGAGGCCATTGGGCAACACAGTAAGACACTCAAAGTTTTGAAAGAGAGAGGAGTTTCAAGATTTCAGTGGGGCTGGAGAGATGGCTCAGATGTTAAGAGCACTGGCTGCTCTTCCAGAGGCCCTGAGTTCAATTCCCAGCAACCACATGGTGGCTCACAACCATCCGTTATGAGATCTGGTGCCCTCTTCTGGGGTGCAGGCAAAACACTATACACAAAAATTAAAAAAAAAAAAAAGATTTCAGTGGCAAAGCATGTCAGGTCCTAGATTCAATCCCCAGCACTAAATAAAGCAAACAGCTCCAGCTGACAATTTGAGTTCCCGGTCTTTCTACCACAGGTGGCATCTGAAGCCTCAGACACAGGCACTGTAACTGTGAAGTGCATATTGTCCCACAGAAACCTTTGGTTACCTTGGACACTGCCAGAACTCTTAAATAGATGGATTCTCACTTCAGTAATTTACCTGCATACATCCTGCTAATCATGACCAGTGTCTGGAGATTTACCAGTTTGTTCTTTTTAATACAATTTGGAGTGTTAATTTTTCTTAGGAAAAAAAGATATGGGCCTTTTCTTATTATTGTTTGAAACAGTTTCTCTGTGTAGCCATGACTGTTCTGGAACTGAGATCCACCTGCCTCTGCCTCCCGAAGTACTGGGATTAAAGGCGTTCACCACCACCTAGCAACATGGGCGTTTTTCACCAAGGGGGTCCTATGTGTGTTGATGTTGCTGGCAAGTCCCATCTCTGTGAAAATGTAAATATATTTTAAATACCCGGGATATGGTCTGGTGTCTGGTAGATGCTGGCTGTGTCATCCTCACTATTAGGGATGTGGTCTGGTACATGGTGGATGTTGTGTGTTATCACTATTATATGAAGAACATCTGAGTCACAGATGTCCTTGCAAAGTGTGCCTTAAAGTTCTCATCTCTTTAACTTGTCCCCCCACCCCCCATATATTGGAGAGTCAGTATTCTTATCAGGGCTAACTTTTTGCAAAAGGTGACCTTGTCCTGATAGTCTCTGGCCATCAGTTTTTTCAAGCAGCTGCCATTTTTTATTCTGGGGACATTTTCTGGGTTTACTGACATCTGTGCTAAGTTTTCCACATTGTTAAAAAGCTGTCCTGTTGCAATAGCTGTCTTATCCCTTCAAAAGCTATTCCAACAGTTCAGCTTTATTGAAAAGGAGACTATTTCATCTTTTCAAAAACACTTCTGGGCAAGACGTTCTTATCTAACACAGGTAAAGTTCTCTTCTGGAGGCCTCTCTGGTGCTGTGCAGTGTTTCAGAACTCCAGTAATAAACCACTCCCTGTTAGCCACCTGCACTGCACATGGACGGGTTGTTCCTGAGGCCTCGGCAGCTGATTGTGCAGTGAGGTTGTCTATTGTTTTAATAACAGAATGAACAGAGGATGACATCACACAGAGGAGCCGAAAACAAAACTGAACTGTGGTACTGTGATAAGGTCAATAGCATTAGTAAGATCTGGCTGTTACTTGTCTTTGCTTCCCCCTTAAAGTCCAGTGTACTTTGTCAAGGCAATTTGTATGTAATTGGCATGCCAGTGTTAATTTTAAAATAACACTCTAACAAAAATGTACCAAGTGTTTCTAATTCTTACTCTATCAAGATAATTGTATAAATTTATGACCAGCATTAAAGTATTCTGTTTAGCAAAGATTGTTACCAAGTGTAATGAGGGAGAGGGCATCTCAGTCATTTGTTTGTTTAGTAATAAAAAGCTCCTTTCAATCAAAAAATCCTTCGGGGTTTTTCCTTAGCTGTCACTAATTGTTTTGGCTCCCCAGGCCCACTAAGCAGACGAAGGAAACAGACACAAGTTCTAGTGTAAATTTATTAAACAATCTTGGGAGCACATGTGATGGACACAGCGCTAAATGTTCTTTGTCATCAACATGATCTCCAGAAGAGGAGCACTCATTTGCTGGCAAAGGCCATTATCTGTTCCTGGAGAAAAAGGAAAGGGAGTGAGTGAGTGGTACTTGGTCACGGCAGGGCGAGGACAGGTGTCTTCATAATGAAACATCCATGGTGACTACAGGGGAAACATGGCACAAGTCCCATACAGACACTCCTCCCAGGAGTCCCTGCTTTCTTTCACCTGTAACAGGGCTGCAAGGCCTCAGCAAGTAAAAGCACTTGCCACACAAGCCCGACAACCCAAGTTCAATGATTGTAATCTCTCTTATGGAAGGAGAGATTAACTCCTGAGAGTTGTCTTCTGTCTCCACATGCTTGCTGTGGCATGTACACACATGAATATCGGTGCCTGCTGTGAGCCATCCAACATGGGTGCTGGGGACTGAGCTCTGCAAGAGCAGCAAGCCCTCTCTGCTGAATCGCCTCTGCTGTCCTGTATTTTTTTAAAATCTATATCTGTATGGGTGTTTTGCCTACTTGTACATTTATGCACCACATGCATACCTAGTACGCTCGGGCCAGAAGAAGGCATTGGGTCCCCTAGGACTGGAGTTACAGATGGTTGTGAGCCACCATGTGAGTGCTAGAAAAGCCAGTGCTTTTAACCACTGAGCCCTCCAGCCCTCAGCCCTGTATTAAGCCCTTCCTACATATTTCAAGTTACTCCTTAGATGTGGGCACCAACAAGCCCAGCAGGTACTCTTATTCATAAGCAGCTGGGAAGGTAGACCGAGGATAGTGGCTGGGCATGACAGCACATGCCTTTAATCACAGCACACAGCAGGCACAAGCAGATGGATCACTATAACTTCCAACACAGTCTGGTCTACCTAGCCAGTTCCAGGCTAGCCAGGCCTACATACTAAGACCCTATCTCAAAAGTAACTACAATAAAAAATAATGTTATATGCAAGAAAATTAATTCAAAGAAATTTAAAATTTCTGCAGTCTTTGCACAATAAGGAAAAATCTTGGAGAGCTGTGTGGCCACTTACTTTGAGAGGAGACACTGCGTTAGTGGCCTGCAAGCCCCACGTCCTGAGCAGCACCAGTGGAGTGGCATTGGTTGAATAGAGCCTTTTCAATAGGTCAGTAGCAGCCAGAAGAGCAGTATTATGACGCTGTCTGTCTGTTTCATAGCCTGTGAGGTGGCTCATGGAACCTGGAGTTGAAAAGCAGGAGGGAAGTCAAACCCTTACTCCAGCAGTAAAAGACCTCCCATTAGACACTACCACATCTTGTTACCTAGTGCAAGTTGGCAGCCCTGACCTTTACATGATGTCAGGGTACCTGACCTTACCTAAGTCCTTCCCGTTGAAGGCTGCTGAACTGAGATGACGAACCAAGCTGGAAATATCCCCGAAGCCCATGTTGACACCTTGTCCTGCAAGTGGATGGACTCTGTGGGCTGCATCACTAAGAATAAAGCAGCATTCAGGTGTGGCCTCCAGCAACACGGAAAGGAGTGGCCTGTTCCATTATGGTCTTACCCAATGAGAGCCACCCGAGGTCGGACGTATTCAGCAGCATGTCCCAGCCCCAGAGGAAAGAGGGCTCTGCTTTTAGCATCCACCTTGGCTATACTTGGGGGCAGCTGACGAGCTGAGAACTTAGTGGGCTTCAGAAGGGAGACAACATAGCGCATCATGGTGCTGGCTGAGTCAACGAAGTCTGTGTGGTTAGCATCACTCCACTGCATGACATCAGCCCCCAAATGATGAAATTTGGTTAGTAATTAGTAAACAATTCAAAAACGCAACCCCCTTTTATAACCAAAGCTAAGGGTAATGCTACCTAACATGCCTAAACTGATCTTGTTCATGAGTAACAAACCCCTTAAAACACATGCAAAGCTCCATTTCCCAGCATTCCCCAGAGGTTTTATTTAGCATCATGCCAAAGTATTTCTAGGTTGGCCCCTGACTAGAATTGAACTTTACCTTTCACTAGTTCCCAGCAGTAGCTACAAAGTAGCTACAGTGACGCTTACCCTATGCTATCTATCCTTCTGCCTCTAAGCTTAGGTAAAGCATAGGACACCCTCGGCTACCTACTGAACACCTCCACACCTTCCTCTCTTCCATGTCATCCTATGCACAAATCCATCTGTACTGTCATGATCTCTCACTTGACTGTGGACTTCCTGGAGACAGGGGCTGTCTCAGCAGTCTGTCTCCAGAACCTACTACACAGAAGACACTACTCAAACGGGCCACGCTGCACAGGTATCTCTACATGACCCACTCACTTGGCTGGCCTTTCTATCAGCACAGCAGCCCACAGTTTCCATTGTTTTACATTCCCTGCATGCCCTCCTAGAATCTAAAACAAGGACTGTACGTGCTAAGGGGAGCTGCATGACTACTTTTTCCTCATCACTCCAGGAGTGAGACAGGTGGTACTCACAAAGGCAGAGTTGATGGCATCCACAAACTCTTCCTCATCCATGCTGACCAGCTCTGCTGCATGGTCATGTGATGTGGACCAAACCAAAGAACTCAAGGTATCCGAGAGCTGTACAAAAAGAAGAACATCAGCCTGGTGTGGTGGCGCATGCCTGTAATCACAGCACACAGTAGGATGAGTGTTAGGCCAGCCTGGGGGATAGTTCTAAAATAAAAATAGAAGCAGTAACAAAAACATGCCTCTTCTGAACTTGGGCATTTCCAAGCATAAAGGAAACTGAGAAACGGAAGCAATGCCTGCCTGGAGCACAGTCCCTTTATACCACGCTGAAGGAAAGTGAAGTCAAAGACCAAGGCTGGCTACCTTTGAGCTAACTGGCCATGGGATCTCTTACCGGAAGCAGAGCAATAGGCCCAGCGGGGAGAAATCTCTGCCAGGCTACATTGTTTTCTGTGGCCTACAATAAAAGGAAGAAAGTTCTTGTAAGGGGTACTGAGTGCTCAGGACAAGGTCCCAGATGGCAGCTCCAGAGCTTACCTCTGATAAATGCAGAGTGGCCACCACAGCAGACTGGTCATAGGGCCAGCTGACATTCTGGATCCCAGAAGCTCGCCTTACTCCTGAGTTGTGCCCGTCAGCACCAATCTGTGTGGATACAAGGGCCTGCTAAGTCTCACAACCACATCAAAATCAAAATGCTCCAGTTTCTTTGCCCCTTTATGTATTCCAACTGGAGTGGAAACTATAAGGCCTGTCCCACTCACAGCTCTATAGAGATAGCCCTACAAAATGGGACCTCAGCCTAAGCTAATAAGACCAAAGTGGCTATCTGAACCAAGAGGTGTCAGAAACAGCCATATTCAACCAGTCTCTCAATACATGAACTAGGAAAGTTAGGCACAGAGTGGGCACTAGAGTTTAAAAGAGAAAGTTGGTGAGCAGAAACAGAGAGACAAAGTGAGAGCTGCAAGGAGATGAATGGCACTGTGACTTCTGGGACAGAAAAAAAGAACACGGCCTGAGTTTCCAATACTCCTGTTCCGTCCTGTCCTGGGAGGCCTGGTACCCCAGCCTCAGCTGGCCCATGAGATTGCTTCCCATGTAAGTCTTCCCATGTAAGACCATCTTAGCTCAGGCTCCTTGAATAGGGGCTGGTTCTATAAACAATACCCTAAAGTCAACCCACGGTTTCCATCTGAAAATACACTCAAAAAAAATTTAAGGTGTGGACATGCAAGACCCCTGACAAAGGAAGAATCTTCAACTACCAACAGTTTGGTCTGGAGGGTGCTGCCATCACCTAGGGTAATATGGACCCAAGGGCTGGAGTCTGCCATGGAAAAAGGACCAGGCCAGGCATAGCCAACAGCTTTGCTCCCGTAGAGAACCTTCACTCGGTCTAGAGAAGTCAAGAAAAAGAAGCA